CACTTGAGGCTTACATACAGATGCACACGTTTGAATCTCTGCCCTTTCAGCCTCCAGACAGAGATAACGAGCCATAAAACAATTTGAAGGAAAATTAGAAACAAAAGGCATCTGAGTCTCTTGATCATGACTGGAGATAGGAGCTCTCTCAGCTCAGACCTAGAATACCTTTTTATGAGTCCTGCCCGGCAGCAAACACAGTGCTGTGACATTGCCAGCTCTCTGTACTGCATCTTCTCCCCAAGCACCCAATTCACATCAACTCTTGATCCTCTATTTTACCCTCAGGGTGTGTTCTCTGATTTTCTGTTCCTTTTCATGCTTCTCAGCTTCCCTGTGTGCATTTTGCCTTACTTGAGAGTTTGTACATTTAGTCTGAGGGACAGAAGCATCCTCTTGAGCTGTGGCTAATGGGTCAGGTGAGAGCCATGCCTCAGAAGACTAAAGCCAGGCTTCCCTCTGCAATTGCTGTGCAGGTCATTTGTACCCTTGCAGTGGTAAGTACTGCCGAGATGAGCCAGGATTTGGATTCCATGTAAAGGCCACTGCTGGCCAGAGACTGCCTCGGTATTTTGTTGCGTCCCAAATTCTTATGTTTCAGATGCCTGTCTGAAAGTGTGGCTCTGAAAGCTTGAAATCTCATCCTGGATTGACCAGGTTTTGGGTGCAAAGCCAGTTTAGCCCTCAGAGCAGGTTAAGAGCTGCAGCCTGCTTCCTTACCCAGCTCTGAACCTGGTCCATAAACATAACATACAGGCACATTTGGAAGAAGGCAACTGGGAACAACACTTTCTTCAGTGGCCTGCTGAAGAGGGGCTCTGGATTCTTGTTTGTCCTTTGAGACACATTTCATTCTTTGCCTTTATAAACAGCTAAATTTCCTTGACAGCTGAGTTCCCCAAGTCCCTGCTGTCTTTCTGCCACTTGCCTCCCAGTGCAGCTGAATGAGGCTAAAGCATCCATGAGGGGAGGCCAAAAGGATCAAGCGTGTTGAGGCCAAGAAGCCATAAACTAAAAGGCTGGCTCCAGCTCCTCTACCCTAGGTCAGGGCTGGCTCAAGCAGAAGCACCCAGGAGTGTTTGTGGGAGATAAAACATTTTCCAGGGCCTTAACAAATGCCTTCTGCAGAAGACAGGCATTTACAGGGTGGACATTCCCTAGCAGGTGCCTCATTCTTTGCTGTCTGCACTGACTGTATACCCTGCTTCACTGACCACATACCTTTCAGCATTTTGACTGCTACGGTCTCACAGCTGTTACTTTTATTGATCCCAAATGCTGATGCTTCCACCACCTTCCCAAAGGCACCATGACCCAGGACTTTACCTATAGGCAAGGAGAGATGCAGTGTGAAGGAAGGCAGGTGCAGCACAGGCAGAATGGAACGAAAAAAACCCCAGAATCCTAACAGGAAACCATGGGAAGAAGAAAAACATCATAAAGGAAAAGGAAGGAGTGGAACATGTGCCCTTCCCAGGTGGCTGCTTGCTCTGTTGGTGAGAATAAGAGAACGGGTGATGGGAGGAACTGAGACAGAGCTGGCATGGACAAAGCAGAGGAAGGAAATGGTCCTGCAGAAGTGAGGGGCTGTTTGTTGCCCTCAAGCAGAGCATGTTGAAAGGTAAATGTGACACCTTGCAGCAGAGCAGCCAGGGCTAATGTCACTGCTCTGTGCCTTAAAGAGAGAAGGCATTAAATACACAGAGGTGTGTAATAAAGCTAGAGGATGAGTCCAAAGGGCTGGTGGGAAGCCCTGGCTGCAGCACACAGTGGCAGGGAGGGGGGCCAGCTCACCCAGGCGCAGACGGTCCCGTGGGAACTCCCACTTGCTGGAATCATAGGGCAGGTACTCGCACTGCTCCTCCAGGGGTACCTCACCGGGGTCCATGATGATGGAGAGGTAGCCTGTCTTGATATCTGCATGGGCAGGCTGCAGGAATCAACCAACACAAAGGGTGAGGAAGATGCCCTCCTGGCACTGGGTGCTGACTCCCAGAGGGGATTTGGTTCCTTTGCTTGTGTTGACCTGCTTCCCCCTGGCAAAGGCCATTCCCCCTCACTTCCGTTACCACAACCCTGTCCTTGGCAGTGAGAGTGCTTGAAGCACCACTCAATGATCTCCTTTTAGTGGAAGCTGTCACACAGCCCCACATCACAGCAATGGTGTTGCCCAAACCCCACTATGCCACCTCCCCCGCCCTGGGACCATCACGTACCCTTTTGATGTTACAGAAGATGAGGATAAGAAGGATCCAGAAGAAAACAGCGATAACACCAGTCCCAATCAGAATGACAATCTCCACATTGGTCCTGTCATCAGAGCCTGTGGGATGGGAGGGAAATTGTAGCTTCAGAATTCCCATTCTGTGCCCCAGCTCAGTTGTTCTTTGTGGCCTGTTTAGGGATGTGGGGAGGTGTGTTTGCCTGAGCTAAACATGCTCTGGGCTACAGATCCTCCTGTAATAGCACCATGCCACCAGCAAGACCTAGGGGCTTTCACTGCCTCCCGCTGCCTGGTGTCACAGAGAAGAGGTGTGGGACCTTGGACACACTCCCACTGCACCCCTTCATCCTCAGGGGTGTCGTAGCTGCTGGTACCTTCCACAGAGACGCTGGCCGAGGAGTTCACACAGCCCTTAGCATTGCAGACGCTGCACAGGTAGAGCCCAGCATCCTCCTCCCTCACCCTCTGAATGCTCAGCCTCTGGTTGAAGTCTGCCAGGTCAATCCCTGTAAAGCAAGGAGGATTGTGGTGGTCACTCACAGGGAGGGAGGATTAATATACTGGACTCATTCAAGCTCAAAATATGGTTCTTATTTTTTGGCTGGTTCATTTTAGATGGGAGAATGAAACTGCACCAGCTGGTAGAGGTTCTCTTCTATGGCCTGCTGGCCCCAGAAATACCCTGGAGGGGCTTTTCCCAGGCAGTGTATGGAGGGGACAAGATCCCTGCAGACAATGCTGGATGGGGCTGGTGCCCAGGCAGTCCAGCTGGTGTGCCAAGCCCTGCTTCAGCTACAGAACCTGTTCTTTTCCCTCTGCAGTGTGCCTGGATCCTTCCCATGTTCCTTACATGGGATCTGGGTTGGTCCCTGCATGAGCAGAGATTCTAGCCATTGGGCTGAGAGTAAGAAGATGGATCATTTTTCTCTCTCTACTCCCCAGCTGAATGTGCACATGCAGACAGTGCTGAGCCAGGCCCTAAGGCATAGACTTGGTCAGTAAGACTGCACCAAACTGGAATAGAACATGATTAAAACCAGAGTTCAGGCAATTCAGACAATGGGTGCCTCTCCCTGGGCACAGCAACTCCCAGCACCCAGCAGCATTCAGCTCTCCAGTCAACAGCCATGATTCCTGCCTTTGATTCACCCCCAGCCCACTGTACCTGACACTTCTTCTACCAGTTTCTCGTCTTTGTACCAGCTGATTTCAGGAACGTGGTTGCCATCCACCTTACAGCGCATCTCTATGGAGTCGCTGACGTTCACCCAAATGTCTGTCAGGTTCTGCTTGAGGCGGGGGATCTCCAGGGCTGGAGGAGCAGCACAAAGAGGAGGAGGGGAAAACGGGAAACTGATTGATCAAAAGAATATCTGTGTTCTGGGGGCCTTTGGGTCTCTGACCCCTGCTGAAGGGTGTCCTGAGAACCCAGGTGCCCTGCCTTTGCCACCTTGAGTTTGGCTTGCTTGCGTGGCTTCCCCTGGGGACGGACTGGGAAGCTGATGGCAGCAAAAGCATCAGCTCTCCTCTGTCACTCCCGCCTGCCCTGTGGACCCTCACCCTGCACAGAGATGTATTTCTTGTGGCAGTGCTTCTCCCGGGTCTTCCTGTTCTGCACCTCACACACGTAGTCTCCCTCCTCGCCCAGGGAGATGTTGGGGATGGTGAGCAGCAAGGTGGCATCATTGGAGTCCGGCTGGAAGCGCAGCTCCCCCTGCATCTTGGTGGCGTAGTGGTGGACGTTCTTGCAGTCCAGCACGAGGGGGTTGCCCTCCTCATCGTGGAGCTTGGAGAGGTTCAGCCGATACCACTGCAGGTTCTCGTAGGTGTAATTGTCTGCATTGCAGCTCAGCTGTAGGTCCTGCCCCTCTATGGGAAAAAAACTAAATCTCGACCCCGTCTGGAAGGGCTTTCAGGAAGGAAGTGAACATGTGAATGAGTTTTCATGGCTGAGCTGCCAGACACAACAAAATTGTCTCCTTGGGCTTAGCCCTCTGAGGCCCCCCTGTCCTCATCCAAGGTTAAGGAAACCAATCCTAGAGCAGAACTGTGACATGGAAACTGCTGGCAACAAACAGCTTAAGCCCAGCAAGTGCTAAAGGATATGCTGAAGTCCCAGGGTCAAACTAAGATGGGGTCACACATGGAACAAGTCTAGGCGGTCTGAATTAGGCTATTATTGCTCTCAACAAAGCTGCAGCATTCTGGATTACACACATGCCTGCTTTTACACGTGCAGGCAGTTACACAGCCAGGCTGGACAACTGCAGTGATGCACTCCAGAGCACCACTGGAGCAGCAACTGAAGATGTTCGTCTGCCTCCACAAAAGCTGGTGGCTCTGACAGCACAGGTACTGCCTATGAGGGCCATGAGCCCAGGTTTCTGTGGTCTGTCCAGAGAGGCATGAAGATAAGCCTCTGCTGTGCCTGTGCCAGGCTCCCTGTGCCCAGCCGACAGGGACAGACTCCTGCCAGCACAGGGTACCACTGGCAGGAACCTTCTGCAGCTCCATATGGGCCACGACTACTAAGCTCTGGCTTCTACAAACTCAGCTTCCTTCCACCACCAAAACCCGGCGGGGACTGTGCCAGGGGCTCCGGCCAGCAGGACCCGGGCTGGGAGCAGTGCCACTAGAGGATGCTCTTGGACCAGGCACATCCCCAGCCCAGGGAGCTGCCTGGGCCAGAGCCAGCAGGATGTCCCCAGCACAGGACCTAGGTACAGGCAGCACAGGCTCACCCCCAAGCCTGCCTGCCAAACTCTGCCTGTGCTATCTGCTGCCAGGGCTCCAGGCTTTTGCCACTCAGCAGAGCTGTGGGGTAATCCTGCTTTCCTGCTGGCTTCCTGATCACTGTTTAAGGTGCTAACTGTGAATGCCAGGACCTGGCAGGCCTAGGGTCCTCCCTATTTCAAGCAGAGAACTCATCTGGTGCGGTTGGAGGGGACAGTACTCACTGGTCACGTAGAAGTAGATCAGCCGCTCATCTCGACCCACTTTATTAGAGGCAATACACTTGTACATGACTGAGACGTTGGCCTCCTGGATGGCCAGTTTGCTGACTGTCTGATGGGGGAGAAGAGGACAAGGAGTTAGGAAGAGCAAGAGGGAAGAGAAGTAGGATCAGGGCTGCTCTCTGGCACACAGCAAAGCACCAGCAAGCCTGGCCCTGGCTGGTAGCTGTAGCCGGGAAAGGGTTATGCAAAAATAGCCCCTTCTTCAATAGTCTTTTGTGCATTTCAAGCCTCATCTGCTGGCTCTAGGAACAGCAACATGGTTTTATTCCTGATCTCTGCTCCTTTTTATGGAGTCCAGCCAGCACAGATGCCTCTCCATAGAAGTAAACTTCTTGCTAAGCCCCTTGGGTCACCATGGGGACAAGCCTGTGCCCAGCAAGGGGGACATGCACATGATGTTGGGTTGAGGGGGTGGCTAAACCAAAAGGACACCAAAGTTCTGATTCCCTGAGCCCTCTGCAGTTAAGTGACTACTTGGTGTTGCACAGAGTTCAGTGGAGTTTACAGACCTGTAAGTATTCCTTTTATCCATAAGGGGAAAAGAAATCTCTGAAAGCATTGCAGCTCTCACCACTTCAGGAAGAGCTGTCATCCTCTCCCTTTAAGTGTATACAGACACGGTCCTAAAAGGTTCCTCCTCCCTCCTTCCAGTAAGACACGACTAAGATTGGGCAGAGCCAGGCTGCTGTCCTGGGAGCACACACCCAGGAGATGCTGCTTCCAAATAAGCCAGGAAAGGCAGCCAGGGAGTAAGGATGTTCTCCTCCTCGCAGCTCACACTGTACATGTGTGAGTGGCCAAATGTGTTACAAGTACTCCCCTTAGAGGAGATCTGCAGTTTGAAGCACAGGTTTCTCCTCCCTCCTGGTTTAAATGACAAGTGGATCACATACAATAATCCCTCTAATGAGACAAAGTTTAAAAGGCAGAAAAATTATTGTTCCTACAGGGAAACTACTTTGCCTTTTACTATTCATCCCATAGACTTTGGGAAGCATTTCCGTTCTAAGTGGCAATGTATTAGCCTGTGTTAATCAAAGGAACTGAGTTCATTCAGTGCATATTCAATACAGCTGAAGTGACTTTATTACTAGTACTTTTGTGTGTTGCCTTTTCCGTTGCTTGGGGTTATTCAATACAGCTGAGGTGACCCTATTGCTGGCACTTTTGTGTGCTGCCTTTCCTGTTTCTTGGGGATTTTCCTTCTAATCTGCACTGTTATGTTTGTGTTGGGCTTTCTGGATTTGATGTCATCCTGCAGTGCATGGCTGTGCACTGCACACCCTGTGGCTCATTCTGGCCTTTCTGGTCAGAATAAAAACCAGAGGAAGATGTAGGAGTAGAGAGGCAGAAAGGAGGAGGAGAGGGAGAGAAAGCAGATTTGAGGACATAGCATCCCACTGCAAGTGGAAGAGCTCTCTTCTCCCAGAACTCTTGCATGCCCCTGGGCTGCACAACCTAAGTTGGACCTCCAGGACAGTTACAACTAAGTAGATGGAATGAGAAGGACACAGCAGAGGAACAGGAGGAAAATAATGAGGAAAAAAAAAAGAAAGATCAAAAGGGATCAAGACCAGAGTCAGATGTGGAGAGGGACACAAGGGCTTCTCACCCAGGAGCTCCCACCACCCCTGCTCGCCTGCCCGGGGGACACCAATCCCTGCCTTTCCCTTCAGCTGCTCAGGGAGGAGAAACATCTGCCCCTGCCACCCTTTTGGCAGAGTGATGAACTCCTCCCAGGCCAGGGGACGGGAAGTGCCTTTGGAGGTGTGTAGGAAAACAGGAAGTGACTTTCGGAAACAGGGGCTCGTTTGTTTGTTCTGCATCCCTCTGTGAGCGGCTGGTGCCCGACACCAGCGGGAACAGGAACCCCGTCATGGCACAGACCTGATACAGCGACCAGAGAGACAGAAAGAAACAGGCAGCAAGCAGTGTCTGGCTGTTTGAGGATCACATCAATGAGAGATGCTCCTTCCAGAGAGGTAACGCTGTGATGGAGAAGTGGGCTCTGTGGGGCACATGTGCTGCACTCTCAAACCTTCAGCAGATGGATGTCAGCATCTCCATACCACCCTCACCCCGCTGGGATGGGGTCAGCTGGATGAAATGCCCAGCCACACACATGCACATTCCCAACGCCAGAGATTTCCTGGTCAGTCTCTGACTCTTGCTCTCTCTTCCCAGCTGCCCAGGCTGCTCTGTGGGGTTTGGCTCTCCCAGAACAGTTCATGCAAGAGTGCTCAGAAATGGCCACAGGGTCCCCTAGAGCACACGTCCCCCATGCCCTCCCTAGCCGGGTGCCCTGTTTTCAACAGCAATCAGTGTAAATCCTCCTGCATAGTCAGCCCCAGCGGGAGCCTCCCTGGATGCAGGGTAATTCCTCAAAGATGACAGCTCTCCCTCGCCCTGGGGCTGCCTGGTACTGCAGAGCCCCAGGGCTGGGAACGGCCACTGATGATTTACTTTAGAAGCAGAGGTGTGAAGCCCTCCCCAGATCTGTCTCTGCCAGGCTTGTTTCCAGGCCACTTTTGCTGGCTGATCACAAAGGACCCCTCCGAGGGTGCCTGTCTCCAGCTCCTCACTCCAGATGGGCTTGGAGCTACAGCCTCACCTTGTTCCGTCCCTCCACAAACTCCACCCAGGTGTCGATGCTCTCGATGGGGTTCACTGCATCCTGCTGTGACACATCTTTCCAGTCCTTGCACTCAGGCATCCGGTCCCGCTGATGGCGCCTTGCTGCCCGGTGCCTGCTATTGCTAACCCAGGAGCAGGGGAAAGAGGAGAGAGATGGAGAGGAGGTCAGCTGGGAAAAAGGCAGCAAAACCATCTCTGTGTCTGAGAATTGATGCCCCTGTGCTCTAACTCTGCAAAATTTCCTGTGTCTTTCAGTTACATGGTTCTAATGTGCTTTATAAGGGTGCCCCAAAAACACTAGTGAGGAAACATCTACAGATGTGAAAATTGAGGCAGGGAACAGATACAGGTGTCCCAGGCAGTGTTTTCATCCCCAGACCTGTGTTTTCATCTTTCCCTGCTGTGGGTGGAGGAAGGCTGGGGTGAAATTGGTTCGTGCGTACCTCGGGCAGTTCTTGATGCCACTCTGCTCAGCAATGAGGCTGCAGGGACAGTGAGTCAGGGGTGTCACAGGCTGGCTGGGTGCTGGCCTGGAGAGCAGATGGTGCAGCACCCCAGGGTGCTCCTGCTGCTCTCGAGTCAATGAATATCAGGAGGGAAACATCCCAAGTAAAGATGCTGCTAGCATCTCACAGAAACATGGTGATATCTTAGTTTGAGACAGGAGAGCTGGGAGAAGTGCCTAAATCTGCCAGGCACTGGGGATGCTGCAGCCTGTTTCTGAGATGCAGCTGGGGCTGGGAGACAGGCGGGTCTGCCCAAAATACAGGGTGGGAGGTACGGAGGGAGAAGGCTTATGGCCACAGGGAAGCAGCGGGGGAGCTGAGCACCCAAGAGCAGTGGCAAGGGCACCAGCAGTGCAGGGCACAGCACTTGGCGGGGCGAGCACACCAGTGAGCTGTGTAAACAACAGGAAGCTGGAAAGAAGCCTCCTGCATCCTCTGGAGCTATGCTAGGCAGAAATACGGTGGCCTTGGGAGACAGTGCTCATAATTCATGGGCCCCTCTGCTTCCTGACAGGGCCACAGTGCACTTGCATGCGATGGAGAGCTCTCTGGTGTCCCTGGCTCAGTACAGCCTGCACAGGGCTGCAGGACCTGGCTTCCTCCAGGCACCCTGATGTCCTCCACCCTGACTGCTCCGGCTACAACTCCCCAGCATCCCTTTTCCTTCTTCCTGCCACTAAAAAGTGTTACCATAGCCCTGCCTGGTGCTGCCCCAGATTCCCAGGGCACAGGCAGTGGGCACGCACCCTTCCTGCCTACCTATTGGTGCTGCCTGCACAAACACCCTCCTGGCAAACCATCCCAGCAGCTGGCTCTTCCCCTGGATCCAGCAGCTCTTCCCTGCACACAGCACCTCTGCTCCTCTGAGGTGTGGCCAGACCATAGACATTCTATGCCAGATGCAGATGGCTGAGGATGCAGGGGAAGCTGTGGAAGCCCTTGGTGTGTGGGACCAGCCAGGCTGGGCAAAACTCTCACACAGAGCACAGGTGTCACTGATGGGCTTCATTCTGCCCCTCCACAGTGGGTGTTCAGTGCTCCAAGCTACCAATCAGTGCTGTACTCCTCTTGCCATGTTGTGAGATGGGGTCTGGGACACAGCCATGGTCACAAGGAGCCCGCAGTGTCATGCTTGTGGCCTGGTAAGACACAGGTTTTGGCCCTTACATGCTGCGTCGGGAAAACATCCGACAGGGCATCCATGGCCTCCACTGCCACTGGATCACCTCCGGTGCCGGGATGCCATAGACTGTGCAGGTGAGGGCCTGGGGGCTCCTCCGGGAGTAGATGCTTGGAGAAGAGGCTTCCTTCTCATGGATGCGCGGAGGAACTGCAAGGATCAGAGTGACACCGTGAGGTCAGCCCCTGCACCCCCAGGCCAGGCACAGCCCTCCCCAGGCCTGTCTCTACAGAGACTGGCCACTAAAGCACTATGGCTCTTAGGGCAGCTCCTGGGGACCTCAGACCTGCAAGGCAGAGCAGATCATACTTAGGCACATTCAAGTGGTGTCATTTCTCCTTCCTCTGCAGAGTGTGACTGTCTGGATGCTGCAGGGCTCAAAGCACTGTCTGGCGGTCCCCAACAAAGGGCTACAGAGCCTGATGGAGACAAACCTCCAAACAGCAGTGCCCTTCCAGCACTTTCTCTGCTGGCATCTGGTTCCGGCATGATTTGGACCAGTTTCTGCTGGGGGAAAACTCCCCAGAAGCTTCCCACCCAGAGAACTGCTCCAGCTCCAGGCTTTGTGTGTGCTGTAGCTGTACTGCCCTCAAGTCCACATCAGTCAGGGTCGCCCCTCAGAGCGTGTCCTGGGAAATGGCTCCTGAGCAAGGACATATCCTGCTGAGAGTGACGGAGCCAGGAACAAAACTATGCTGTATCACCAGGCCAGAGAGAACCAGCCTCAATGTAACCAGAGCATCCCTCAGCAATGAGGGAGGAGATGATGTAGGTACCAACTGCTTCAGGATAGCAATGGAGACTTGATCTTGGAGTAGCCCAAAGGCTGGAGCCATGGACTGTCCCCCCAACCCCAGCCCTGAACCCCTCCCTTACCATTGACGATTAACTGGAGGCTGATGCGCTTCTCCAGCCCCGCCAGCCTGTTCCGCAGAACCAGCGTGTATGTCCCAGCGTGCTGCTCCGACACATCCTTGATCTGCATTGAAGATTGAGATTGCTTGGGAATTAGCTTCCCGTCCTTGTACCTGCGGGGAGGCAGAGAGAAAATGCAGCCATGGGGAGGAAGTGTCCCGCTGGCAGCTGGGCAGGGGTCTGCTGGTCCCCACTACAGTCCAGTTCAGGGCGCCGCTGCTAGCACTGGGGACCCCTCTGGAGAGACCCCTGGGCTTTCCCTGGACCTGAGTTACGGATCTTCTATAGATGTGTCTGGGGTTGGGGATGTTGTAGCTCTGCTATAAGCAGAGCTATCTTGCTCCCCTGGGCAGCCTTGATCCCCACTGCAGGGAGGCAAGAGGGGCAAGCTCCATTTGTTCCCTCCAGAGCTGTTAGGACATTTGCTGCTTCATCCCACAGTGTCACCTCCTCTCATCCCAAGCTATGCAGCTGAGAGCCAGGGTAGGTGGGAGAAATGACCCCCATGAGTGGAAAAATGTGACATTTGGGACAATCTTGGCCGCAGAGGGATTGGGATAAGCTTTCCTAGTTGGTAGAGTGAAGGCGAAGAGAAGGTGGTCAGGGTAAGAAAGGTGAGTTACCACTGGAAGTCTGGTGGGGGGTAAGCCACGACCTTCACCGGCAGCTTCACGGCTTCATCTCCTGCGGTGGCTTCTATCACGGGGCCCTTTCTCCACTCCACGTTGATGAAGGGCTTTTCTGCAAGCAAAAAGGTGAGCATGGAGGAGAGGAGAGCACAAAAGGACAGGCTGTCACCAAGATCTGCTGCTCTCCACAAGGCCTGACAGCAAGGACTGAGGACAGGTGGGGTGTTGTGGCAGTGCAGTTGACAACAACTACTTCTCTGCAACGATGAAGTCAAAATAACCAAATTTGACTGTTGTCTCATCTGCTCATATGACCCCCGGCCTCTCTTCCACATCCCTGTTCCCAGCAGGGCTCCCTCCCTGGAGCAGAAGGGAGTGGGTGCCAGGCAGAGCTGGGCAGACCAGCCCTGCTCTGTGACTCTGGCATCTGAAGAGCTGTCTCTGCCTCACTGTTGTGAGCCATCATGGACACAGGGAGGCTGCGCTGCCCTGTCACATTCTGCTGCCAGGAGACAGCCGCCCAGTGCTGATGATACCTTGTGCACCTGCAGCTCATGCCTCCCAGGCCAGCCATGCCACAGGGCACAGCATCTGCCACAGGACCATGAGACCTGTGTCCCCGGCCATCTCACTGACATTTGGGCCAGTTTGGTGTTTGCATCTCACTTATCTTGGCAATGTGAATGTGATCATGCTCCCCGTGTGGTGCTGGGGTGCAGAAGGGCTGAGCGACTGGAGGAAGGCTGGGTCTTACTAAAGCAAGTGGGATGGAGGTGCAGGAGCCCCTTTACTAAGCCTTGGGCCAAGCACTGTCTGAGCAGCCTGGGGCTTGCTGTGCTTGCAGCTGGGCTCTGGCTGTGGCTCTGTGGGGAGCGGAAGGCACCGTACCGTGCACGATGACGTCTGTGCTCTCCTCCAGCATCTGGGCACCGTTGGTGGCAGTGCACGTGTACCTGCCCAGGTCCTGCTGGCTGACGTTGTGCAGGGTCAGGATACTGGAGAGCTCCGTGTGTGTCTGCAGGGACCGGCGCTCGGGCTCTATCACTGCCCGCTGCGTCTGTGGGAGAGGACAGAGAGAAGGGGATGAAAGACATCAATGGGATGGGGTTGTGCAAGCCCTGTGTGGCTGCCTGAGGCTGGGATAACAGCATAAAGTTCTGCTTTTATCTGCAGCCCAGTAACCAGGCTGGGAGACCTACAGATACCTGAACAGAATGGTGCCCTCAGGGGACTCCCCTGTCTCACTGTTCGCAAGAACCAAAGGCTACAACAGGGGGAAAACACAGTGGGGAAGGGAAGGAAAACAAAGGGAGGGACCCCATCAAGGCATTTGGTAACCAGGGCTGTGCGGCTAGAATAGCTCCTTTTAAGCCAATGATGTTTGCTCTGGATTTGCACTGCTGGAAATGAAGCCAGTGTTTGCCCAGGAAAGCCCCAGAGCAATAATACCTCAGCAAAGAGGAAAAGGGGTCTCCCCTCTGTCTGCCTTCTGCTGCAGGAGAGAAAAATGGAAAGCACTCAGAGCAAGATGTACTGGGCCCAGGAGGGTTAGGATCATGAAGCAGAGCCCTGCCAATGATGTGAAGAGGCACACATGAAGGGGCAGGAAGGGACGACTCAGAGGGAAAATTGTCCAGTGCTTCTGGAGCCGCTTTGTTTGCTGGTACCTGTTTGCCAGGGTAAGTCCACTGGAAGCGGACACCAGAGTTGAACTCAGCCCACACTGTGCAGTTCAAGACCAGCTTCTCTCCCACCAGCAGCTCCATAGCTTTCTTGGGATACAGCTGGATATCGTACAGCTCGCTCCCTGATGAGGAAGAGGCAATGAAAAGACATTTCTGATCTATTAACTCTTTCATTCAGATCATGGAGTTACAGAATGCTTGGTGTATCCCTGTCTGGCACACAGAGGAGATACAAGCACTGTGCAGAGTCAGGACCATAACAACCCCGTGAGCCAGACTGATGCACTGCAGAGTCATCTAAATTCCCCTTCCCTGCACCTTCCCAAATATTCACCTGCTATATGGATGATGAAGAAATTGGATCTGAAGACCTTCTTGTCAATGACAGTCTCACACTGGACAAACAGGGAGTCCCTGATCAAGTGCGTCGGTACCTGCACCCCCTTCTTGTTGTCCCAGAAAGTGCTTTTCCCGTCAGGGTGGATGAGGGAATTTTGCTGGAAAAATCAACATTTTGCCAACTGAAATAAGAAGGTAGCAACATTCCCACCCCTTCCAGGCTTTTCATTGGCTAACACATCCCTTTTGCGGGAAGAAATGATGCAGCATCATGCTGTGCTGGCCTCCTGCCCTCTCCCCTCCAAGGGTTTGTCATCTAGGAATCTCGGCCTCCCCTATACCCTGAGCAGCATATCCTGCACCACGAGCCTCTGCATCTGCAGAGTGGGCCAGAGACTTCCAGGAATGGAAACTTCTAGTGATAGCTAAGGAAACTGATGCTGATGTCCCAAACATCAGCCCCACTGGGATGAGTGCTGACCTTGGGTAGTGTCCTTCCCGGGCAAGGGGAAGGCCCCTGGCCCCCAGAGTGTCCCTGGAGGCTGTTGTACAATAGTAACACTCATCCTGGAAGGATGTATTTGCATTGTAAAGAAAAAAAAAGGGAAAAAAAAAAAAAAAGAAAGACACAAGCAAACTGATAACAGAGCTGTTTTTAGTCATCAGCCCCAGGGCTGCAACCTCCTCCCTCATAGGGATGCCGACCACCTAAAGGGTTTGTAGATCAGAAACCAGAGAAACAGGGGATGCTGCGGGGAAATGGGATTAAAACTAAGTCTTGTTTTGTTTCATAATGCTCCAGGGAAGAGAAGCAAGGTTGGCAGGAAACCCGTGGGGTCTGCCCGAGGGACCTGGACAGCACAGCTTCAACCAGCAAATAAAACGAGGAAGCCAGTGGCTTGTACTTTCCATGGAAAATGTGTCCCATGCATTTTCCATTCCTGGCAGTGCCTGTCCTGCTTCCACTCAGGTAATTACAAATGCAGAACAAATGAACACTGTGGTCCAGAATCTCCCCCTGGCCGAGCTCTCACCAAGATCAGTGTGACGTTAAGATCTGGAATGGACACGAGGCATGGTACCCAAGTGTTCTCCTTCTTGCTGATGAGGAGGGTCTCTGGTTTGTTGATAAATGGCTGTTCAAAATCTGAAGAAGAAATATAAGGAGAACAACTTACTAAACAGAGGCCAGAAAAGAACTGGGAAGAGGAACCAGCCAGAAGAGAGTGATGCTTTCTGGCTTTCTTTAACACAGCATGAGCTTGCCAGAGGGAGTGGTGTTGAGCTGGGTGGCCCCATCTGCAGTGTGTGACACTCAGAGGAGACACCTGGAGCTTGGGAATGCAAAGGGAGCAGCAGAGGTGAGCGCCTGGGCCAGCCGGCTCCTCCACACCAAACACTGCACCGGCGGAGTGGCACTTGTGTGACATTTGGCAGTGCTGGAAGTGACCTCCCCTTTCCTGTCCCCCTCAAGGTCCCTGCCTGGGTTTGACTTGTTGTGTAACCATCAGGCCTCGTCCTGGGCTCAGCCCGGTGCCGGGCTGTGCCGGGCTGTGCCGTGCTGGTGCCACGCAGGCAGCGCGACCTTCCAGGGCGAGGAAGTGATCCGCAGAGGAATGGTATGCAGATGTCATCCTGCAGCCATCCCGGCCGGCAGATAAACAGATGAGCTGAGCTTTCCAGGGCTGCCACCCCACTGCCTCCCAACTGCTGCAAGCACAAATATTGACAGGAAGCACAAACCCACCCCAAATTAATCAGTGACGTGACTGAGCAAGGACAGGGACATCGCACTAAACTCCATGGGGACCTAGCGCCAAGAAGCAGAGTGTCTGCACAGAGGGCTGCCCCATCCTGCTCAGTGCATTGCCTGTTTCAAATGAGAAAAGCCCAAGCAGGGCTCCACAGTGGAAAGAGCTGATGGCAGCAAATAAAGGAGATGTGCCCATTGTGCCAGGCAGCATCCAGACACGGAGCGCAAAGACCAACTTGATCCTAAAGAGATGACAAGGTAACAGGCAGCATGGACCCCATTTCTGGTTATTTCCAGATACACTGGAAAGAGCTGGTGAGACCAAGATGCAAAATACACTTGCATCCCAAGCCAGGGCCAGAGGATAGGAAGGGTGCAGGTTGTCTTCCAGCGCCTCATGCCAGCTACTGCTCAGGCTGTTCAAACCACACTGGGCCTAACCCAATCCAACCCGGTGCTCCCACTGTGAAGCATATAAGGGAATTCCTTTAACGTGTGATCTATCTGATCTAAAGCTGTTGCTTCAGTGATAGTCATGCTGCAAAGATCTACTCCTGGTAGCTTTTTTCTATGGCTCAGGTGAATCAAGCCATACACAGGAAACGTGTTGGTCATGAATATACGGATTGCCCAGAGAATTCTTATCTTTATTTCCTGGGGTTTTGTGCTGCCACAGGATTGCTGACTTCTGAAATCACAGATTTGTTTCCGACTGTGAATATGTTCCTCATTCCTCTCCTGAGCCCTGGGCAGAGGGAGGAGGTGCACAACTGTCAGAGGTGAGAGAATATGAGGTCCCCTCGAAGCTCAGATGGCAGCCAAGAACTAACTGATTTACTGGGTTGGTCCTGCTGCCAATAAGCTTGTGATTCATGCACTAACTCCCCTCTCTGACCACATCACATATTTTCTATTAGGCTGTCTTAATGGGTCGGATGGGAATAATTTAGCATCTTCTTCATTAATATATGCTAAGCTTTATGAGATGGGAGCTGTACACATCTTATTCTACTCTGATGAGGCATTCTGTATGTTTACAGTGCTATCTGTAGCTGTAATAAAATATATACCTAACTGGACACATGGGAAATGAGACATATGTGTGGAGAGTTCATTTGACAACTGAGCTACAGGTAAAACGCAGAAGAACCCATTTTTCCAGCCAAGCACAGATATTCTGGTTCCTGGCAATTCCACCAAGCTCTTAACATGAGAAATGAGGTCGATGGATAAACCTGTGGTCTGACCATGCTGTCTCCAAACATCCCCAACACTTACATCAGCCCTTCCAAGCTCTCTAGGGACAGTTTCACACTGCAGCCCAGTTCAAGCAAGGTTTTATCTGGATGTTCTGCAATGGCTGTGGTTACCGTATGCCTGGGTTTTCCTGACATGTCCCTTCTCCTGCCTGAAAGCCTGTCCTGTTTGGAAAGGCAGATTCTGAGGTTTCCTGGATGCTTGATAGCCGTAACAGGGCAGAGCCTGATTGGAATGAGTGTAGCCATGTGCACAGCAACGCTGCGAGGTGTTGGCTGGATCTGTTGCGCACAGGCTGTCCACAGGCACTGTGAGTCCCATGGGCCCCAAGAGTGTGGGATTTATTGCCCCTAAGCTACACTGCATGTGCATATTTGCTGCTCTCAGGTAAACAGGAGAGCCATTGCTGAGCTGCACGAGGCTGGAGGCGAGAGAAGGTGGACAAGGGGGCAAAGTGGCATTTGCTGGATCACAAAGAAAATCAGGCTCTTGCAAAAGCACTCCCTGCATGTAAGCTTGTTGAGTTGTACTTATTTTACGTGTGTGTTAAGAAGCCCTCTGCCTCCATCCTCGTACCCTAGAGTGCCTGATACCCCCTGTCCAACTCACAGTTGTCCCCTCACAACACGTCTGGGATCCAGGGAAGCTCTGTCCTGTTTTAGGATGAGCCCACAGGAAGAGGATGCAATTGCCCAAACAGATCTCCATTCCTCTCCAGCAGCTGCCCAGCTTTTCTCATTTGCCCCTGCATTTTTCTCTGCATAGTTGCAGAGGCAAATCTGGCTTTGCCCCGGGACTTCTCAAACATGCATCTTGTATGTCATGACCTGCCTGGCTCATGACAACTGCACCAACTAATAAATGGGGGCGGAAAGAGAAATAGCTCAGCCAACTGTTTCCAGGGGACAGGACTCATTTATCTTGCTGGAGCACGCTGCGAGCAGCGGGGGAGACAGTGCAGGAGGAGACCCTGGGGCATGGAGAAGCTGCGTGTTGGCCCCAGAGCCACTTGCTGAGCTGAGGTTCCATCTCCAAGCCTGGTGGACAGCCTTACTCCTCCAAAACACATCTTATAACCCTGCCTGTGCAGGCAGCCCGTGTACTAGGTGGAGAGAAGCATTCGAGTCTGCTGCTGTGGAGTGGCTCCAGGGCCGTCAAGCCCAGGGACAGGAAAAGATTGCACATAGCGTGTTTGCACCACTGCTCCTCTCCGTCTCTCAGCCTCAGCTTTGTGGAACATTATCACCCTAGCTGCTAGCATCTCGGAGAGCCCCAGCTGCCCAGAAGCTAACTCTGGTGCTTTTTTTAGTGGTGAAGCATCTCTGAGGCCCGGCTTTCACTCCTTAAATTCCTGCATTCCAGCCCGGCTGGAGCGATGCCCTCCGGCCGGGACGTAATTGAATCCCAGGCGCTGCCGCCATGGATGGATATTGGCTCCCTTGAAGTGCAGGGAACCACCAGCCCTTGACCCCCTCCCTGAGCCTGCAGCAGCCACGCTCTGCCCTGGGAGGCTGGGGGGCACGTTGGGCTTTTTCTGCTATTATGCTGGTGCACAGGCTGCCCCTGAGCTGAAGGTACATATGGATGGATGGCTCTTACCTCTCACAAACACGTAGGTGCTGACTGCTGTGGTGCCCTCGATTTTGGCATCAATGTACTTGTAGTAGCAGCGGTAGTAACCTGTGTCGTTCGCCTGGGTCTCCGTCAGCACCAGGACTTTGCAGTACGGCTTCGTGCCGGTGCCCTCGCAGTCTTCTTCTCGGATTGCCCGGCTGCTGCTGGGGGCTGCTGAGGCCACCAACTCGGTCTCCTTCTCCTTCCCAGCAGGGTCCACCTTGCCCCCGGGCCACGACCACTCCAAGGGGTGCTGGCCTCTAGACATGGGCAAAGAGGAGAGTTAGCATTGGTCCGAGCAGGGGAAATGCAGTGAGGATTTAACTGCCCTGTGCGACTCTGCACATGTCTGTACATGGCCCAGCCACCACTCTTGGGCTGTGGCGTGGCCATCCTCCAAGGAGAAGAATAGGCACAAGCAACTTCACGAATCACTGGGCATGCAGAAGCTCATCCCCTTTCCCAGGCCACCTCTCTGGCCATGCTAAGCTGTAAGATATCAGCCCACTGACAAGCAGGACTCCCCCTCCCGTGACTTTGTCCTACTGGTATTGATGCCAGAACAAGAAGCCACAGAGGGCCCTGAGGGAAAGGCTCCATTTATTCTCTATTCCCTCTCATTATTAAAAGGGTCCAGAGCTATTAAGAAAACACATGGATGTGATGAGTTCCCTTGGCTCAGCATAGCTGCTGGCTGGGGCTCATGCTGTGATGAATGGAGTGGGAAGGAGAATGAGGGAAGGAGAGCAGACTGGAAAGAAAATGGGAAGGAAAAAAGCAGGAGGGAATCAGGGATGAAAGACTGCAACGTAAATACAAGGAGAGGCTCAGCTAACTGCTTCCTTCCCTGCTGCCTATTCCCACCTCTGCCAAGACACTGAGCTACAAACACCTCTCCATAACCACAGACCCTGTTCTCCAGCAGCCCGAAGACAAACGGAAAAGTCCAGGAACTGCAAGAAACCCCCAGGCAGAGCGTGCACGTGTCTATTTATATATAACTGAGGATCTCCAGGGCGGGAAGCTCGCATATGCACGTGTACGCACGCACGCGCCACCTTAGCTTGCTATGGCTGCACTTGTTTACTACAAACAACACAAGCTTTTATTCCATGCTGGAAGTTTCCTTCTGTGAAATCAGAGCCCCTTTCAGAGGAAGGCCGAGTCTCCACTTGAAAGTTTGCCAGTAAATCTGAAAGAATGTGCAAAAGAAGGGAGGAAAAAAGAAGACATCGCAAGGGACAGCTGTGGGGTGAGAATGGCTTTTTGTCAGCACCACTTGCTCTATCAGGGGAAACTGGGTTCATCTATTATGCAAGTTGGGAATAGGCATGTTGGCACATGCAGCTCCTCTGCCAGGACAGCTCTGTGGGCAGATGCTTCTAAGCACAGCCAGATCATGACCATCACCGATAGCTGGATGCAGACAGCGAGGGACAGCAAGAAGGAACTAAGATAAGGTGCTATCGGAGGGCAAATGGCTCATATGCAATGAGGACAGGATTTCTGTCCAAGCATGGGGGAAAGACCTGCCTCTTTGTGTTTGTCTTCAGCAGCTGATTTATCTTCCTGCAGACCTTGCTGTCTTGCTCGCTGCGGCTGAGTCTGGAGACACTGTGCTGCAGTCTCCCCATGTCACCAGGCATAAAGGCTCTGGAGGCAGTGATGTGCCCTTGGGGACAGCCACGCAGCCCCTCTGACCCAGCTCAAACTTCTGCATTCACTGAAAATGCCACCAGTGCCTGAGGCAGGACTGGAAGTACAGCTGTGGTGGCTTGTGTCCATGAATCATGGGCAGGCTTTTCCAAAGTAACAGTCTCACAAACGCTTCAGTAAAAACAAAGCTCTTGAATTTTGAGTTTTCCCCATCCTATGCATGCACAGGGAAATAAAATACTACCTCTGATCACCAAACCAGTAACACCCAGTGGCCTCTGCTGTGCCCATTGCTGCTGTGCCCATGGCCCCGCTGCACTGAGCACAGACCATGGGGCTGGCCCTGCTCTCAACCCAGAGCTGAGCGCTTCACACCCCAACTGCACAAAGGAGCCCCAAAGCCCTTTGCGGTCACTCAGGCATTTTTGGCTCTCCACAAGGAGCAGGGTAATTGTACAAGTCTCCAGTGTTTCCGCTTTCTGTTTGTTTACCCACTGGGATTTTCACACATTATCAGATCCACTTGTTTTATTAACCATCAAGGCTTGCACTAGCTGAGTGACACGTATTTGTATAAACACGGATGGGCCAGTACAAACAGACCTGCCGACCAGCCTGCGGGCAGCTCTAAACCAAGGCATTCCTTGATCATGTGCTGCTCAACCAGAGCCAGTGAGGACACAGAAGATGTAGGTCTTGGTGTGAGTCCAAGTTCACCTCAATGGTGCGTTAAGAGCACCAAAAGAAGACAGGGAGGATGGCAGGCCAGGCTCACTTGGCTTTATTTCTGAATCTACCCTCTGCATTTGAGGGACAGTCCAGGCAGCAGTTTCGGATGGTTTCCTCCCTCCTTTCTGTCACCTTCAAAGATTTATTCCCAAGTTGTTTTCCTTCAGCTCCGATAATGTGCTGCTGGGTGATGGAGCCTGCTGAAGCCAGCTGGAAACAGATGCATTGTGGGCTTCTCCACAGCTGTTTTCCTAAATATTTTCAGGACAGATGCTCTTCAAGGGAGACGTTACAATTGGCACCACTTTTCCTCAATCCTCTTTGAAGCTCCCAAGTGTGCTATGATGGGAAAAACTGGCTGCGCCTTTGTGGCTTACCTGGGATGAGACAGATCCCCCCTCAGCACCACAGAGGATGTTCAGAGCAGTCACACACATGTAGGAAAGAGCAGCAGGTGGTGTGTGTCCCTGCTCAGGAGCAGTCACGGTGGGGCACTGCCTTATCCTCAGGCTCCTTCAGCCCCGCCACAACGCCCATTTCCTCCACAGGAGCCAAGAGGGCTCTGGGGTCAAATACTTCCTCTCTTCCAGAGTCAGGTTTATGCATCTGTGAACCAGCTCTATTAACAAGCCAGTGGGCAGCAAAGGACAACCTTGCCCTTCTTCTTGTAAACACCATGTTGAGGTGACATTCCCTCTCCACTTGAGTGCCCAGCACCTGCACGATGGGACGAGGCAGGATGGGGATGACACAGCCAGCACCAAGTTGTTCCCTCTGGAGGCTCCTGCTGTTGTGCAGCTGGATCCTGTGGGCTCTGCTCCAATATTCATGAGGTGGAACAGCACAGGCTCTCTGCTTTCCCCCAGCACAGGCTGCCGAGGGCATGAATGCAGAGATTCACCATATTCTTTCCTTCCTTCTCAGGATGGGAGCTAATAAAAGATGCACTGTCCATGTGGGCATCAGCCCCTTTGCCATGCTCTGCCACATGCTTAGAACAAAACGTCACTGGGGCTCTCAGCCAGCCCTGGCATGATCTGTTTTTTGGGGAATGCTCCTACACTGGTCCCCTGCTCTGTCTGGACCTCTCAAGGGTGCATTGTGCTGGGTGACAAGGGAACATGCCTGTATGTGATGCCATCTGCAAAAGCACAGCCCCAGCACCTGGTGGCTCCTTGTGGGTGTGCTGTGTCTTTGTGTCTCTGCTACGCATGCCCAGCTCCAGAAGCATCGCTTATCCCATGGCCTGGCACGGACTCTGGTCACTGACGCTGCTAGGTGAGCTGCAGTGGTGTGACAGTGGTGATTGGACAAGCATCCAGGCTGCTGCAAGGGAGCCTGAGAGAGCAGTTGGCTGCAGGACTCTCACGCTCAGTGGGTAAAGCTTGAAAGGTCTCCAGGGAGTCTCACATGGTGGGTTTTGAGCTCAGCTTTCTGCTGAAGCACTGCTTCAAGCAGGCCTGTACTCCTGGCTCCAGGGCAGCTTGAAGAGCAGCCAGAGGACATTGTTCTCAAGGGAAGACCAGGGTCAAACCGAAGGCACCTCCAACG